GTCTGAATTGTTAGCCGTGCTTAAACATGCATTTTGTATTGTAAATATTTGATTTAATTAAGTAGATACCTACATAATTTAGTATGGAAAAGAACAAACGACGATCAATATCGTACAACAGCACAATTGCTGTTTTTGGTTGCTTGAACTCTTCAATAACACACCCAGAGATATCATTTTTTAAATTACCTGAAATATTGGAAAAGTGTCTTACCTTTATAGAATATTTTTTATATACCTATCTACTAGTACGTTATTTGTTTCTAATATTTAGGTATTTCGGTTTTTCCATCGGGCAAAATATCTGGAATAATATATAAATAAGTGGTTAGGATGAAAAAAGAGACAAACGAGTAATCTACCTACACTCGCGTTAAAAACAAAACTACATAAAATACTGTAGGCTGGCGGCCCTACCGCGTGCCAACGCAGCGTTCGGTGTAGGCATTTATTTTCAAGGACAGGGCGGAGTCACAATACTGTGTAGATAATATTACCGTGCTATTGTAATTTTATCCATAGGAAAGTCCCGTGCCCAGTGGTGGGGACACCAGTAGCACAGTATATAGCACTGTGCTAGCAGGGTTATGAGGATGATGTTTAAAATATCACATGTTTACTTACTAAAATGTCTCCACTATATTTATACAATACAAAAATATTGATGTAAATCATGAGTGATCATTTGCATGTTTATCTCATGGCATTGCTCCTCTGACGCTCTGTTAGCCCCATAATAAATAAAGAATCCTCCCTGATATTTTACATCAGAAGTTTTACCCGAGCACCACATGTATACAAAACCGGTGCCATATTGTTGTTCTCAGGGCTCCACCTTTACTTTTCATTTGATCTGATGTTGTAGTATTTATTTTCATATAATAAACCCTTTTTCTAGGAAAAAAGATCGTTTTTCTTTTTTTTGTCTGGAAAATGCTTTATGCATCCTTCAACCACCGGGGTAGCGAAAGGAAGGTATGTGGGACTCCTCCCTGCTCATTTCATTCAGCCCTCGGCCTTGATGAAATGTGCATTGCACTACCTACGCCCTGAACAGGGCCCCTAAAAACCAGACAATACCCCTGCACCGGTCACCCGACACGCATTCAGAGGACCTTACTCCTCCCAATGCGTGTCGAGAGTGCGGATGTAGTTGTGGCAACTGATTTCCAATTGGCCACGCATCCGCCGGTGAGGAAAAAAAGATCCTTAGATTAAGAAATCTAGCAATTTAATGCTTCAAATAAATATATAAATTTATTAACATATTTTATCCCACTTATACAATAAATGTGCAAGAATACCTATGAAACATTACAATTACAATGACTGATTAGTGAGAACTTGAAAAAGACGAGTCTTAGTAAAGACGAGTCTGTTTCCGCAACTCACACCCAGTGCCTATTTTGCGTGGGGATTGGCATCAGTCCTGCCATGTTTCTGCAGGCCTCTACTATTGTCTTCGGGCTTGCCATTAGAGAAGTCCTTTGTCTTTCAACGCCCCGGCACACCAGTAGAACATGGGCGCTCGTCTCCTCGTCCTCCAGGCAGGCTCTGCACAGAGGACTGTCAGAAATACCTATATTACAAAGGTGTTTGTTGAAGTAGCCGTGACCCGTGAGTGAGTATACCCACGATTTGTTTAAGGGCTTGTCTAGGTAGTCTGATTAACTTACATGTTAGCTGAAGGTTTACCTTGGGAACGGCTTCCCTAGCTTGCCTGCAGTCCGTGAGTTTTGCCCAGTATTCGTCGTGTTGTCGTTGACAGCGCTCCCTTATCCAGGTTTGCAGCTGTCTATAGGGTATGGGTACAATTGGCTCCGGACCAATGGCCGTCCTGCTGGAACCTTCCCTGGCTAAGCAGTCCGCCGCATCGTTACCCCTTGAGCCGCTGTGTCCCTTAATCCACTGTAAAGTCAATCTATTGTCGTTACCAATATTAATCAACTTACAGTGGCATTCATAAATTAAGCCAAAAAAGACGGGAGAAGAGAAGGAAATTTAATGCAACTTCGGAAGAAATCGAGAATTCATCTGATATTTAGACGCAAAATGGGATATGACTTAGCATATCACTCAAATGATATTTGGAATGCGATAAAATGAGACAAAACACTCCGTTCCTTTTTCTTTTAAAACACTTAATAAAGATTTCTAGTCCACTGAACATAACTGCATTGAAACTATTAATGCTGGCCTATAACTATGCAGTTATTAGTCTTCGGTTGGACTGCTTAATTAGAATAGTTGTTCGAAAACTAAGACAGCTGGAACGAGACTTGGGAGTTTAAAATGGGAATTACGTCACTACTTCAGTACCTTAATGACTGGTGCGTTCAGCTTCAACAAAAGAGCTCGATGGCGCAGGGGGTTAGCGCGTTCGGTTGCGATCGTTGAAGTTAAGCAACTTTCGCAGTGGTCGGTCATTGGATGGGTGGCCAAAAATTTTCTATCTCGAGTTCCTCCGTCCTACGGAAGGCACGTTAAGCCGTTGGTCCCGGCCGCATCTGCAGTCGTCAGCACCCGCCAATCTGCACTTGGCCCGCGTCATAGATCATGGTCTAATCTGCCTATTCCATCCATAAGGAGCTACACGGGCACGCCCAAGTAGCCCTCCGCAGCGAACGTGAGGCGATACGGTGGGCATTAGGCCACGTACTCAGCCCCCACGCGTGGGCCTACCTGCGCACGTCTGCAGGGTCCCCGTGATACCCCGGGAGACCCCTGCCGTGGAGCCCCGGCTAGGCCGGGAGGCTGCTAGGTGCGGAGACGCGGAAGAATCCCTAAACGGGGATCCCGCGGCTTCGCGCTAAGCAGCTTAGAGGGTATTCGCAGGACTTTTTTAGCGGATATTATGCCGTAAAGCGCCCGCAAGGGTTGCGGGGTCCTCGGTGGACAGCCACTGGGGGGCCCGTAAGACTTGCGGGAGCCAGGTGTGAGGTGTGCCTCTTAAAGGCGCCATCGTCTGTAAATAGCATTTTTTACCTGCGTTATAAAAAAAAAAAGGCCTGTGCTCCAGCAGTGGGAATATCAAAAGGCTGATGATGATGAAATCAGAAATCAGAAATCAATGTATCTTTATTCAAATTGGATGTATAGTACAACTTTTTTGAATCGTCCAAATTTTTTTTCCCTACCACTCGTTATGGACATATTTTTTAGCTGCGGAGAAAAACGAGCGAAAAAAATTCCACAATATCAAAAGTCTAATGTAACAACATTTACAAATCATTATGTTGTTACAACGTCAATACAATTATGATTTATTAAAATATAGAAAACCTGTTGGAATGATTTGATGATGGTTGGATTTGGAATGATGATGTTTCTGAACACAATACCACTTAGAACCTGAGTTCTAAGTGGTTTTAACGAGGCACATTTAACCATTGTATATTTTCATTGATCAATAATTGGCATAACGGTAAAAAGGAATAAACAAACACACGTAGTGATAAACACTTGCAACAAGATGTTTTGCGTGATAGTCATAATAGTGTAGCTATAAGAATCTTACAGAATGGAAAAAATATTATTATTTTATCACGCATAAGTAATGAAACATAAGGTACGCATTAAAATGCTAGATTTTATGTCTTTAATAATAATAAATAATAAATTCATTTATTTGCATCACAAATTAATACAATTAATAATAAGCAGGCATAAATGATTATAAGTTTAACAGTTCTTAAATAACTAGTATGAACTACAATCATTAGTGAGTGACAGTGATGCAAATAGGCAGAAGCTCAGCAGTGTTTTTGCCTTAATAGACAAAATGCTGGTTTTCAGCAACTGCCCGTAGAAAGCGCTAGGATGTCTTTAAAAATAAAATATACTGGGACCAACTCTTTACGTGATTAATTTTTATTGTATTACAAAAATCCCTTGTCGATAAAGAGAAAAAAAAACTTTGTTGACCATATAATACACATAATAAAATATATATGAATTTATAGTACATAATAAAAACGTTAATGAAATAGATGAATGTGTATACTACAGAAATGAATTAAAGTTCCAAATCTTACAACACTATATAAACTATGGCATCAGTATTTTTTTGAACGAACATGATCATATAAAAATTAGTGTTAAATAAACAATTTATTGAATAGAAGCAAAAAAATATTATTAATTAAAAACAGACGAAATATTAAAAAAATATATAGACATAAATAAACAGAATACGTTTTAATGAAATAATTACCAAAATTTCTTACAAAATTTATAGTTGAAAATAGTTATAGACGAGACACGCTGATTTGACGTTTAATAAGACCTCTAGTTTTAATGTCAAGATATCCGCTAACTACGTTTTACAGCTAACCTGGATCTAGCTTCAAACTTTCAATAGTAACAAAATAAATAACATAAATATGTACTTAATGTCTTTTGTTGACGACCCCCGTGGCCGAGTGGTTTGTACGCCGGGTTTCATGGCGTCGCCGACTCGAGAGGTCCCGGGTTCGAATCCCGGTGGGGGCAGATATTTGTGTGATGAACCAGTCTCCAGTCATCAATGGATGTTTAAATATGTATTTCTATATAAATATACTGATATTTGTAAAGTATGTGTATTCTATCCGTTACTCTAGTATCCCATAGCACAAGCCTTATAGTGCTTACTTTGGGGCTAGGCTAATTGGTGTGAGTGTTGGAAACATTTATTTATTATTATTTATTACTAGCTGTGCCCCGCGGTGTTACCCGCGGTTTATTAGGGATATTTTCACGCAGTAAAACGTAGGCTATGTGTTAATCCAGGGCATCAGCTAATTCCATACCAAATTTTACTAAAATCGCTCCAGCCGTTTACACGTGAAGAAGTAACAAACATACACACTCACAAACTTTCGCCTTTATAATATTAGTGTGATTTATTTGTGTTGATCTTATATTGTCCATCAACTTAATGAAATTGAACCACACATATTGTCCGCTCTATTAATTCCTAGCGCTGTGGAATGTTCCGATTCGATAACGGCCGCTTCAAAGCGCTCGAACGGCTGAGTGCACGCGCACGTTTCAGTTAACGCAACACTATTTAATAACGCGTTTCGAACGGCACGGACATCGAAAACACAATTCACATTATTCAGCTTACTCACCTAAATCCAGCCGGTTAGAAAATAAAAACTTTATTTTACAAAATTAGAAAAGTTTTTCGTCAAATTGGTTCTAAGATATTTTCCGCTCTATGGTCTCGGTTGATTGTGTTCTTTGAAATATTAATTTAATTCAAAGTTATAAGTGATGTAGCTGTGTGAAATTTGGTTGCGAAGAAAACTTTTGCTTCAAAGGAATTTATTGTGTAAGTGTAAGGGTTTATTTTTCATATATTTTAAGCATATATATTAATAAAACTTAATTAAAATTTTCATGATTTTCTCTATGGGTATAGCTTTATGCTTAGTTTTATAATTCTGTGTTTTCATTATGTTTTAAATTAATCGACGGACTCGTAAGTGGATTGGATAAAGTATATTATTTGACGACCTCCGTGGCCGAGTGGTTTGTAAACCGGGTTTCATGGTGTCGCCGACTCGAGAGGTCCGAGAGGTCTCGGGTTCGAATCCCGGTGGGGGCAAATGTTTGTGTGATGAATACGAGCATTTGTACTCCAGTCATACTTATATATGTACAGTATATGTATTCTATCCGTTACCCTAGTATCCCATAACACAAGCCTTATAGTGCTTACTTTAGGACCAGGCTAATTGGTGTGAGTGTTGGCAATATTTATTTATTTTATTTATTTATTTATATTGTGTTTGATTGTACTTATGAAAACTGTGTAAGGCTTATCAATGCTACATCATTTTGTTTTATCCTTTGTTTTAAACATGCCGTTTGTTTTCCATGAATAAATAAATTATTAACGATTATTTTCTGTGAAGATTGAAGACATCTTGGAATGTATTAGCAATCCCTTGAATTGTAACGTACTCGAGAGGTCTCGGGTTCGAATCCCGGTGGGGGCAAATGTTTGTGTGATGAATACGAGCATTTGTACTCCAGTCATGGATGTTTAATATGTATTTCTATATAAATATACTTATATATGTACAGTATATGTATTCTATCCGTTACCCTAGCATCCCATAACACAAGCCTTATAGTGCTTACTTTGGGGCTAGGCTAATTGGTGTGTGTTGTAAAAAACAAAGTCATTATTTATGCTCTTCAGTGACGTAAATTTAACTTACTGCTAGTCGATGAGACGTGTTGTCTTGTTCTTTCACTATCGCATAAAAAGAGAAGGAATGAAAAGGCAAAGGTGAGCAGCGTGGAACACTCAGTTGGAAAGTGAAAAGTAAATATAAGTATAATCCAATGACGTAAAATATATAGACAGGTTATACGCAAACATTATTGCATTTTAAAATGGCACAACTAGTCTCCGCCGCCCCAACTTCCCTTGGCAACATCCGCCAATAGACTAGGCTTGTTGAAAATATATCAATGTATCGATATATCGATATTTTTTGTTCGATATATCGATATTTTTAGCCGATATATTTTGGTTCGATATATCGATACATCGATACAAAATAACCAATATCGAAATTCGTATAAAAAACGATATTTTTTTAATTGTTAGCGGCATATCACGATCTTACTAAATTCGTATCTGGAAAAATCGTAACTAATTTTCGTTCCATTATTATTCCACGTGTCATCTTTCGTGAGATACTGTACTGTCATGTACAGCGGCAATTTGGTACTTTGATAATTCTTTCTTTAATTATAATTTGTATTGTTATTATTTCTGTGCTAGGCTGACCTAATTATATTTTTGGGAAAATTGGTCCGATATATCGATATATCGATGTTTTTTTCGCGATATATCGAAGCTGATATTGATATTTTTTTAAATATCGGTGTATCGATATATCGATATTTTTTTCAACTTTCGACATCCCTACAATAGACTTAGCCATAAAGTATAGACTTACACTAGTCTCTAGAAGTAGTCTCCTTCACTCTCATTCATAAAGCAAATTACATCTCGCTCTGTAGCCTCTGTGTCAACGGTGACACCGTCAAAATCAGTAATCACTAAATATTTTTACAGTGATTTCTTTACAACTGTACTTACGAATGAAATGACATATTTTTCTTGTCTCTAACGGTTTCCGTGTATTTATTTATTTAATATTTATGTTTTTATATATAATCTAGCAGTTAAATGCTTAAAAATAAATAAAAACATAACTATAATTGCTATTTCTTCTTTCAAATGTTTATTTAATACTTGAAAAAGTATTCATTTGACATTGTGGGTTACCTACTTTTGTACACTAGCTTAGCATTAGGTAGACACCGCACCCGTAGGATAAGGGCTATATTTTACCGGGACATCATGGCGGCGCAACCAGTCGCGCCACCGTGGTGTCCGTAAGCTGCCAAACTAGACACCATACAGATACCAGAGTCGCCACGGCACACTGAGACAGTATCAAAATGGATCTCGAAGTGATAGCACTACTGCTGTATGTACATAAGAAAAGAGAGTTCAAGAGAAAAAAGAAAGGGTTCATCCATAAATTACGTCACACGAATTTCATGATTTTTTGCCCCTCCCCCCGTCCTTGTCACAGCTGGTCACATTTGTGAGACACTCTCCTTCCTTAGTGTGACATCACATATTATGCAAATTTACATTTAGAAATTATTGAATGAAAACAGCGGTTCTGAAATCAGTTTTATTTCCATTTAAATTGTTTTTTTAATAATATTAACATCAAATCAAAGAAATAACAAAACAAAAAACGATTAAATAAAACGTTCTCGTTTGGTTTATTAATGTTTTCATAAAGTAATAGTTTCAACACTTAGATTACAATAGATTTTGAAATGTGACGTCACGAAATTTAGGACCCCTCCCACCCCTTTGTCACACGATGTCACACTTCGACGACCCCCTCCCTCCCCCTTAACGTGTGACGTAATTTATGGATGGCCCCAAACAGTGGTGGGTTTTCTCTCTATTCACCATGGCGGCACAACCAGTCGCCGCAACAAAATGTATACAGCTCTATAGAGAGTTACTCACCTGGTGTCCGTTTGGTTGCGCAACCAATATGGCGGCGCGACCAACTCGGACGCGTGCACAGAATGTTACTGGTTGCGCCGCCACGCTGATCGCGCCACCACTAATGACTATAGCACTGTATGGTGTCTCACTCACTCGGCCGCCAGTGACGCCCCAACCTCATCATTCCCTGCAACTAGGGTTACCAGATTGAGAAATCAAAATTTCTGGACAATATTATAAAATATCTGGACATTAGGATTTCTGGCTGGATAAAAAAAATCAGCATGACTATAAAAAAATCTTATTATTACAAAACAGAGGAACCCTAATCAAACAAAATCAATATGAAATCACTTTTTCTGCCACATATATTTAGCATTTCCTTTAGCCGCATTTATCATTTTAGAACCTTTATCTTTATTTAGAAAAGATTTAAATTTAGTACACGTTTCGTCAAAGTTCAATCGAATTATTGAATTCAATCCCGGGCATAGATAACAAGAGCCAATGTTCCCAACTCGGTGGAAAAACCACTAATACTGGTGGTTTTTAATTTTCAGCTTCATTTTAGCTGGACATTTGGCCTAAAACCGGGACACTGGACAACGTGTGAAATAGCTGGACTATCCAGCCAAGTCCAGCCAATCTGGCAACTGTACCTGCAACACGTGCGCCCTGTTATGTATTGTTTTTTAATTGTTTATTTTAATATTTTAATTGTTTGTTAATAGCATAGCGATGGATAATTTCGATACAGAAAGGTTTGTTATCGAAATTCAAAGTAGACCATCAATTTGGGATAATTCCTCATCAGATTATTCCGATAGAGAGAGAACCCACCTTTCTTAAGTACACTCGCAGAAAGACCCGCTCTGTCACCCATAATGCCATAATCGCTTGCGGTAGCGGCACAGTAAAAATTCATTCATAGACATGTAACTATCGCTGTCTTACTTTTTCGTATAGCGCTGTCGCGATCACGATGCGGATGACAAATTGCAACTAAAACAAATGCAATTCAATTCATTATTCATCAATGAAATGCTCTCTGTCTTACTTTTGTGCGGCGGCCCGGATTGGCGCGTCCGACGCGAAGGCGGGGCGTAGTAAAAACTACTGTAGAAAACCGTTCAAAGTATTTTGTTCGTCAAGTGACAGAGCGCAAAATTCCGCGATAGTACATACAGCAGTAGTGCAATCTCTTCGAGATCCATTTTGATACTGTCTCAGTGTACCGTGGCCACGGTGTCCCGGTGAAATATAGTCCTAAGATTGCGAAGACTCGGACTACACCAGATACCAGGTACAGGTATGTAAGTACCTGGGCGTTTTTCCCCGCCTCTCCTCCCCCACGAAAACGGCTAACTAGAGCCGAGGTCCGAGTCTCAGTGACGCCCTCTAGTTGCGCCGATCCCCTCAGGTTCGAGTGGTCTAGAGGCCCTAGATTGAGAGCAGACTTCCCCGTGGGGAGATGCCATCCACTGTTGAATTTATATTGAATTTAAATTGACAAAAATTAATCTGTATATATTATAATTTGCATTCCTGTTGTAATAAAAAGAAAGTAACATGACTAGGTAATGCCAAAGTATACTTGATCATTCAGTCTTAACTCAAATACTTCATTCGTTCGTTCAACCCCCACTCATTCGATCATTCACGCATTCAGTTCACTTATAAACTTGCTTCACTTTGTATTCTGCTGCGCTAGGAGTCAGTCGTATCAGCTTCCTAGTTAAAATATATTTCACAGAATATAAGTATCATTCGTCACTGTGATTCCGTATTTGACCGCTCTGACCTATAAAATCTACACCCGCCTGCAATACCTCTAGAGGCACTCGCCATTTATGAGCTTGTGGTCCCCTAAGGATCTCATCGTCTCGAAAGCCAGTGACGCTGTAAAGGTCATCTGCGACCAACAGCATACACACATTAAAAAAAACGCCGTGAGCCCTGGAACCGACAGAAACACAACATCACCAAAAGGTAGTGTTCTTTTACTGTGGTGTTCTGTAAGGTAGAGATTACTGCCCCAGACGGGCGCACCAATTCGAGCGGGAAATCCGCTGTGCCCTCCCTCTGTTAATGGTTCTCCAACTCTTTTCAAATCATCATCATCAGACGATTAATAATATAATAATAATAAATTATTTATTTGTTTCAACATACAATTGGTACAATACACAAATAGAATGACAGTAAAAAATTGAAACAAAAAGGTATGTGGCTCAGCATGTGACAGTCAAGTTTTGACTTGTCGCTGGTATTCT